GCCTTTGATTTAGGCATTCAAGGTGCACAAGGCTTCAGGAATAACGTTTTACGTTGTTAAAAAGATAAAAAAAGAGCGTATATTTTTTTTAAAAAAAAGGCTACAGTAAAAGTTACTGCGCCAACGAAAGAGAATAGAATTTTTTTTTTCTATACGATTATCAATTTTTTCTAGATCTAAAATTATATTGGGGGAGGGTATGATTGGGCGCCATGATCATAAATTGCCGGATAACACCAATATCGGGCAAATTACCGTTATTCAACAATTTTTGCCCGATATTGTATACTTATCTTAAATAGTATGTATTCGCATATTTTAAAAAATATTATTATTGCTTCAAACATTTAATTTTCTTTTTTTTTAGATTATGACAATATCAGTCATCCTTTCCATTTGGTAATTACAGTAAATTAAATAACTGATACTTTCTAGTATAACCATGAGACATTTAGGTTTTAGGTTTAAAATTGAAGTCGCAAAATGTATATGCGCAAGGGCTTTTTTTTTGTGTGCAAGAATTTTGGAAAAATATTTCATGCGCATATAAGCTTTTTTATATTGCCATATTTATGCTTTGTTTGAATTTTTAAACTCTGATTATGCTATACAGCCAGTATAATGTCACCCATAAATTTATATTTACTTATTTTATTTACATTTAGCATGGACATGCTTTTTGGGTTATGATGGCCCAAGATGAACTATTTATCGTAACTTACCAATATCCGATTTTGCGTGACACCACAACTATTCCAGGAAACGGGTTAGTATACAAATGCTTTGTTTATTTTTTTATTTATACAGTACATTATTAATTTTATTCTAGTTTCTTAAAAGCAAAGCAGTAATTCGATTTTTGACGGGTAACCCTGGAGTTTGGGCTTTCCATTGCCATGTCGAGGTAAGAATTTATTCTGGAATATTTATGATGTGTCTCTCTCAAAAAGTGTAACCATTTTTTTCGTATCTTTAAGTGGCACCTCGAAGTTGGGATGTTGGCCCAATTTATTGAACTTCCGGAAGAAATTAAATTATTGGAAAAACCAACATTGGCACAATCTGTGTTCTACTCATTAAACAGATTCATTATAATAATTTCTGAATGGCTAATTTTGATTTAGTTATTCTAAAAAAAAGAAACTCTAAATAATGCCATAATTTAAAATGAAAAAAAATAAAAACAATATGAAGAATAATAAATAAATAAAATATTCGTTATAATAATTTCTGAATGATCTAGTTATTCTAAAAATAAAAATAAAGAAATTCTAAATAATGTCATAATTTAAAATGAAAAATAAAAATAAAACCAAAATGAAGAATAGCAAATAGAATATTAAATAATAGAATAGTAAATTAAATTCTAAATAATACCATAATTTATGGTATAAGCATTTTACATTAAACTGTTAATAATTTGATTCTAGATTTCAAGTGTAATTTCACTTTACTTTTTGAAATATTTTGCAGCCTGCATCCATAAATGACTCGGATCCCTAGCACTCCGTTCATCATAATATAACTGATAGTCTGCAGGTCTAAAAGCATAATCCATAACCTCATTTGGATTTTTAATGCTATAGGCTTCAGCTATAGTAAAATACAACGTTAAATTTGAAGGAAGTGATAATTTAGAAACTAAGGAACTATCAAGATTTTTAAGTTGGTTAAGTATATCGTTAATGTTAGAACTATCCATTGCCTGTCCAACAGCATATTGAGCAAAAGAAAATCGAGTATTCGGAAATCCACCAACTGCTATGGTGGGAACATTAATTTCAGCTAATCTTTGAGTAAAAATAGCACATGATGATTGACATAATCCATTTGTCAAAATTATAATATCTTTTTCAGTCCAAGGAAGTTTTGGTGGTATTGGAAGTTTTAAAACTCCATAATAAAGTGCAGTGTCATTAAAAAATGCTTTTGAAGTGTAGTTAACCTGTTCACCTCCACGAATATATGTATTATTTCCAATAAAGTCTATAACGCTATCAAATGGAGAATTTGTCTTTACTGAAATAAATGACTTATAATGAAATATATTTCCAATTTCCTTTTTAAGCTTTGAAGTTTCTTTTATAAGTGGAATAGAAATATTATTAACCTTAAAGCTCAGTGGAAAATTTTGTATGTCTGGAAATAAGAGTTTATTTATGTAGTGCGCAACAATAACTTGGCCACCAGGATTATTGCTTAAATCAAAAACAATCTATGTAGTATAAACGTTTTTAAATAAATATTTTTAGCATTAATAATACTTTAATATATTTATGCTGTAGTAAATATATTTATAATGTAGTATACCTTTTCTATTCCTTTGTCTGCAAATAACTTAAATCCAACGGCTATATTAGACAATAAACGATATTCAAAGTTTTCAATGTCTGAGTCATCGTCATTTAAAATAGCTTCGGTTGAGATTAAGACCACGCCGAAATCTTGTAGTACATAAAATCTGGCAATGAACGCATCAAAGATCAATGTTGCATTTCCTACTGTAGTCCCATTGATATATGGAGATTCATATGGAACATATTTAATAGGAACTTGCCATTCTCGAGTAATTTTAGAAATTTTACCATCACAATTAAGAGTGTAAGAAATACTTGGATTTTTTGGTAATTGGGTTCGAGATGTGAATAATTGTCCTGCAATATAAAATTCTCTAACTCCAAAAGCAAGTGTTGCGAGAGCTGAATTAAATCGAGCACTCAAATCTCTTGACAAATTTGTATGATTTTTAGCAAATTCAGTAATTACGTCAATTGCTGGCTTGTCATCTATATCTATAACTTGACAATCGATGTTTCTAGGGTCTTTTATGTCATTAAAAACTTTAATTTGCTAATATAATGGATAATATAATAGATCAATAAGTGTATAAATATATTATTTGGATTTATTATATATTTTAATCATTTACCTGCGTGCCGTCTTTCCTAATCGCAGAATACATAGAAAGTCCGTGCTGAAAATTGTACTTGTGATAATTATCAGATTCCAGCCTATGATGATATATATAAATTTGTTAATTATACTTTTATATTTTTACAATAATTTTATTTATTTAGTAATTAAATAGTTTACCGAGTGTGTCCATCTCTCAATTCTTTAATAAGATCTACAACATCGTACTAATACATATATTATCGATAATAATAAGTAAATTTGTGGTATGTTTTATATACAATATATTAAATTAGATATTTACGATAAATTGAAATTCATATGAATAATTATTCTTTAACACCAAATCTAATTCAGATATTAGATCAATGGGTCTTGATGCAAATCCTGGATTTTGTTCTTCTTTTGCTTGATCTAGTAACGCATAGAATCCTTTAAGATATTCTTTTACTGTCTCTATTACCTAATATACAGCATAGCTTTAATTAATTACAGTAATAAAATTATTTTATTGATTCAAAATTTAGAAATACCTGAATTGCCTTTGTTTTATTGTACGGTGTTGATTCATAGCAAACTTTTACGTCCGAATAATTAAGAAATTCTTCGTTGGAATAAGGTGAATTAATGTATTCATCAAGCCTATCGCATATATTGGTATTTTCGTCGGTTTCTTTACGTGGAATCCAATTTGAATAAACAATATTGGTAAATATAATAAGTATGAATGTTATAAGATAGATCGTTTTCATTTTGTTATATGAAATTATGATTTATTTGATTAATCTTGAAATTGACTCTGTTACGAGTCTAATCCTTTTTATAAGTTTAAAATTTTTATAAAATACTTTACGCGCTTAATAATTTTATAAATACAGTAAATTACGCGTTTAATAATTTTATTCCAAATTACCTTCTAAAAAAGGAATTTTACTCTCATTTACGGCTTTGGAAAAAATGTTAACCATTTTTTTCTTTTTTTTTTTGTTTCTTTTTGCCACATTTAACATAGCAACTACCATTTTTCTCGTTTACTATATTTGTCTATTTCACCATTACGTATTCGAATACAGTGCATCTATTGTTTAAATCTTAAGAAACATGTATGGGATTACCCTTTTGAATTTCAAAAAGATATATAATTAGAAGTTTCTAATTTTATAGCTTATTTACTAATTATTTCGAGATCGCATGATATTTCCAATAATAAAATTTAATCAAATGATTAGTAATATACAATTTTGTATAGCATCGCCACGTTATTGTACCCTCGATTATTGAACCAACGATCTATTAAATAATAGTTTTCACATTGTAAAAGTGTAATGATTAATGCAATAAAGCCGACAATGAAATGCAACAATTTCAATGGCAGCAATAATGATAATAGCAGTAACTGTTTAAGAACAATATAAGCGACAATGCCAACGAAGCCAAAATTAAAAATAGTAATTTGATTACTATGTAGTTTATTATTAACAACTATTATGAATGAAAAGGGCTAAGCGATACTATAATATGATCTTGGCTTACAATACTTAGAAAGGAAATTTTTAATCCGCCACTTTTAAATTTAGCATACTATATGATCATGTTCATGCATGTTTTATGGAAGGGGGGTGGTTTACGATTTTAAATTTGATTAATCCGTGATTTGTAGATATTTCCTTTTCTGTTCTTGCGGCATGCAAGTAATTGGTATAAAAATATTAATCAATCGGATTGTCTGTGTAACACGGACGGTGAGAAGGTGGGTCTAGGCTAAAACTATCTAACTAATTAATCTACACTTCGAATAGAGGCGTGGAAAGATTTGGCCCGAGTTTCGAGGTTTGGGAGACCTGTTGCGGCACGACTTAATGCTAAGATAAGTATAGCATTGGAATTTTTGTATACCAGTTGTGTTGTAAGCTTCAATTTATCACTAAAGAAAACCCTTCTTCTTGGATTTGCGCAATGGATTTCAGTATTTGTCTGCAATCGTTAAGATTCTTAACGATTGTCACAGAATGGAATCTCGGTATTGTTATATAATAGTTTTAAGCGATCAATGACATTTATCAATAGTCTAGTTTGGTATAAAAGGGATCGGTTATTAATTAATGATCTCTATCTCTCTCTCTTACTTCAAGATTGAATAATGCATTTTTGTCAAGATCACGGGACAAGGATTTTAACGACAATTTTCTTATAACGGTTTATGGCAAACCGAATTATTGTTATTATTTTAGCAAAGGGAAACTTTTTGAGCTAACACTTCTGCTCGAATTTCGAAGGCTAAAACTCAACTGAGTTATCTTTTATTGAGACGAAAAAAGGTCGTATTTATAGTTTTATTTTAATGCGTCTTTTAATACATGCGATCGCTAGTTTCACTAATATTTACTTGTCTCAACAAGTTTCTTAGGTACGAAAAACAGATAAATCAAATAAATCAAATTTATTTGATTTATCAGATTTTCTTGACCTTCGAACCCGTCGAAACAGGTATTAACTACTGTTATTAGTGAACTATTCTTCTAACTATGTTGAGTTTTACTAACATATTTACAAAAATAGAAAAAATAACAAAGATACTATGTAGCAAAAAGACATAGAAAATAACAAAATTTTAGAGGGACGAGGACTTGAGACCCTCACAATGGTCCGGTCAGATAATGTCACATAGAGTGATATTTTACAATAAATACTATAATAAACCCATAAAAACCACTATGGATTTTAAGCTTCAGATTATTTTCAACTTAAATATTAATTTAAAATTTCAGTGTTAAGCATATAGAAAATAGTAGATGCAGATTATTTAAAATACTTTTTTAATAAGATACCAGGAATAGGTGATATTGGAAATTTCACGAACTGTATGGTTATATTGCAAATTAAATGTCAAGTGTCTTCCTTTGAATGCATATCAGTCAGGAACATGTTGCATAGATTGATATTTTATAATAAATACTATAATAAAAACATATAAAACTACTATATATGAAGGTATTTTGACATATAAAAATTTGTAAAAATTCATCTTTTGGCCTAGGTTGATATTAGTAAGGTTGATATTAATGAGAATAGGCTGTAGTTTAGAATGATATTATGAGAGATTAATATTAATAAGGTTGATATTAACAAGGGTCATCTGTACAATATAGTAACTAGCAATAAGTAATTAAATATTGAAATAGAACATCTAATATAAGAAGTATTATTTATTGAATCCATATATTAAATATTAATTTTATAGCTTTTTATAAATAAATTATGATAAAAATGGCAGTTGTATGCATGCAATTATAATGATCTGTCAAGCAAATATCTAAAAATGAATTCTTTTTCAATAGCTTCGTTTTAGTAAAAATAAAAGGATATAAACAGTCCATTTTTTAGAGTATGAATTATTAGTGAAATTGCTTAAATAATAGAACTGCTTGATTCCAAAAGTAAAATAATAACTATTTATTATAATAGAAAAACAAAGACTATTTATTATAAATAGAAAAACAAAGACAATTATAAGCAACTATATAATAAACAATAAGGTCTACAAAATAAAATAAATATCTATATAACAACTAAAATAACTTATTACGCCACTCTATTGTAACATTGTTATTCAAAATTGTTATTAGAAGAACATCATTCTGGTTCATTTTTTTCAATAAGTTCAATTAACTTATTAATTTTATCTAGAGGATCTTTCAATGCTTTATTTATTTGATTTTGTAATATTTCATTCATTATCATTAATGTATCATTCATAGCATTTATTTTATTTCGTAATGTCTTTTCAGAATCTTCAAATTTAGTAATTTCTTTAATCTTAGAAGGAAGGCTTTCTTTATCTTCAACACACTTTATATATTTTTTAAGTTCATTAACTGAAACTTTGTAGTATCTGAAAGTTCAAAATATATATTAATTTATAGTATAAAAGTTGGGATACAGTTAACCAAAAATTAATTACAATATTTCTGGAAACCAGTTTTTCTTTCTTTTTTGATAAGGTAACATCCAAAAAAGTTCAATTTCTGTTAATATCTAATAATAAATATATTAATTATAAATTTTGTCTTAATATTAAATTATATAAAATAAAAATTTTTACCTCCCCTCTTAGTTGTAAAAAAGATTCCTCATTATTTGTTTCATCAATAGCATTTCCAAGTAATGAAATAAATAGATTTAATAAATAAATCGTTGTAAAAAATGAAAATATAACTAACAAAAATGTTAAAACCCAATTATCTTTTAAACCCCATGAAGAAACTGAACTTGTATCCCCTAAAATAAAGATAAAATTAATGTTTCTTGTTAAATTTTTGTTTAATTCATTATATACAATACCTGTTAGCATAAAATAAACAGCTAAAATAGAAGTATTAAACAATGAAAATAAATTTGTATTATCGTCTGGGTTTTCAATAAGAGAAGATTCTCCAACAGAACCATTAGATGAAATAAATTTATATGTTGGAACAAGATTCCAAGGATTATTAACATCATCAGTATAACTTGGTTGATTATAAGAAAATCTTTTCTAACTCATTAGCCGTTGGTCTTTTAGCAGGATCATTATCTCAACAACGATTAATTAAGTCTTCTAGCAGTTGAGGAATTTTAATTTGAAATTGTGGAATATTCACTAGTAGGTCTTAGTAAAAGATGCAAAGAATGGGCAAAGGCCAAAACCATAATACCTAAAACAACAAGAAAAGAAAAGACTTTTTGTGCTACTCCAATCATAATTGCAAAATAAGTTCCAAATGATTCTAAAGCACGAAAAAATAATAAAAATTTAATTTCAAGTAAAAAAGCAGAAAGAGTTATAATCCAAATTGGTGGTATTTTATCATGTAACCATACTAATGAAGTTATTGTTGGAAAAAATATTGCAGCAAGATCTATGGTTAAACAATATGATAAAATTAAATTATAAAAATATTAGTAATTGTATATTATGATCAATCGAATTATTAAATTAAATTATATACCAAACCAATTCCAAAGACTAGTAATATATGCTATAGGTCTATGGATAAATTGGCGGGCTTCAAAAAATAAATGAATAAATCCCAAAAAAATAGTTGCAATCAAAAGAATTAATTGAATATTCCAAGAAATTTCATGCTTTGAAATCGTTGAAACAATTAAAAAACAGCACATAAAAATAGAATATATTGTCCATATTATAAAATAATAAAATCTTCCATAGGTTTTCCACTTGAAGTTGATAAGTGCTTTAATGCTCCACCATTTATAATAATCAGGAGTATCTAGTAGTAAAGTAAAAGGATTATCTTGTATATAAAATAGTTCACTATAGGAATATTTTGTGGGATATGTAGCAAAATTCAATAATGGAAACATTAAAACTACAGTATCTTGAGGATAAATAGTAAAATAAGATAAATATAGTAAGTAAGGAAATGCCAAAATAACATAAATTCGAGGATAAGATTTTTTTAAAAGATCCATTGTTCAGAAATCCAAAAAAAAACAAATAATTAAAAAATGAAGTATTAAATAAATTATTTGGATTAATATAAGTTCCACATTGTTGAAAATTGAACAAGAAGGAATTATCATTTTTAATGTGATAATGATAGGTGTCAATATAGCCGACCAACATATTGGTCTTAGATAAAAAATTTTCTGTATATCTTTGATTTATATTAAATTTATCTAACATTACTAATACAGAAGTAATATGGCTTATTATTACTATAAAGCTATAAATGTCACCACATTCAAACAT